ACAGAGACAGACAGAGACAGACAGAGACAGACAGAGACAGACAGAGACAGACAGAGACAGACAGAGACAGACAGAGACAGAGACAGAGAGAGACAGAGAGAGACAGAAAGAGAGACAGAGAGACAGAGACAGAGACAGAGACAGAGACAGAGAGAGGTCGCCGCGAGATCAGCACGCTGAACGCTGAGGACATCCCTCGAGCGGGCCTACATTACATCTGTGGGGACCTGTCGAAACCTAGGCCTTGCGCCTTTCGGACATACGGCGTGGTGAACGATATCACGTGTGTGAGTTTTTTGCTTTCTTGGGCCCGCAGGCAAAGCCGAAGCGGCCCGCTACCCGGAAGCCTCCCAGCACGTACGTGGATTCCTCGGACAATTCCGGGTCAGACGACGACTTCCACGGGATGGAGGTAGGTCTCGCAGCAATCGTACCGTAGGTGATCCGACGTAAGATATCACACCCCCTGGACCTATTTTCAATGGTCGATTCCTCCAGCAGGGGAGAGTGGCGGTTGGGATAATGGCGGCGTTGGAACCGTCTTGTCAAGAGCTTCTCGAGCATATGTCGGGTCGACTCGCACATTGTCTTCGTTGTGGAGCAATGGAGCTGTGAAGATCGGTACAGGGGGGGGCGGGGCGGGGGGGTGTACTCATAGTAGTGCATGCCGTAGTCGTTAGACCATTGACCTCGCATCCCTACAAAGCCGGGACGGAGCACGCCGGGTTCTCACCGAACCAGGCTCTCACATCACTAAGCGCGAAGTGCCGTGAGGTATTCGGCGAGTCGCATAAAGGGTGCGCTGCATCCTGCTAAGGCTGTCNAGCCGGGACGGAGCACGCCGGGTTCTCACCGAACCAGGCTCTCACATCACTAAGCGCGAAGTGCCGTGAGATATTCGGCGAGTCGCATGAAGGGTGCGCTGCATCCTGCTAAGGGTGTTCGGCATCTTGTGCTTACTTCCTTGCGTACGGATGACAGCTGCGTATGAATTAATTTATTTTCTGGTGCTTTCACTTCCAGAGACAGTTGTAAGCACTGTGTAACTGCCTCGAGGGTGCTTGACCATTTTAACACAACGTGGTGCGATCATCCCCCTTGCGCGGAGTGAGGGTTCTCCACCCCGCACAACATGATCTACTCGACCACCATTATGGTTACCGCCAAAAAAAGCAGAGGTAAAAAACAAAAGACGGTAACCTGGTTGCCGAGCTCACGAAGTGAACGGGCTTGTTTTACAACGTCGTTGCCAAGCGACGAAAACCCAACCCCGATGGCAAACACTGGGGGGAGGGGGCGGGGGGGGGCAGGGGGGATGGTATCTTGTGAAACCTTTCGGAGAAAATTTTCGTGCGAGCGTTCAGGTCACCGTTGTCGCACTGTTGTCCCTCTGTAGCAACTGAACCCCCCACCCCCCGACCTCTCAAGTTCATTGGAGGGAGCCGGCCGTCGTCTTGGTTGCCTAACAGCAGATATATGGTGTGGTACAAGACCAGTTTTCGTGTTTTTTTTTTTTTTTTCGGCGACGGTCTTTTTGGCCAGTACAGTACAGTAGCCTAAGAGTTTTTTTTGCCATGTCTGATTTTTGATGTTTTTTTTTTTTTTTTGTTCGTTTTCGGATTTTTCTGTAGTCCGTCCGTGTGCGAACGGACGGCCTGTTTCAGGACGAGGAAGTGGTGGCGGAGCCGGTGGTGAAGCCGTCGCGTCCCGGTCGCGCGGCCGCCAAGAACCGGAAGCCTATAGTGGACGTGATGAGCGATGACGAGGAGGAGGAAGAGGCAGGGTTCGACGAGGACATGGGGTGAGTAGTCGCTTGGTTCCAAGGCAACTCTCGCGGGTGTTTTACTTGTGTTTCTACAAGAGGGATTTCGCACTTTCTGATGTGGGCCTGCCTCTTTCGCGCCGCCTACCGTTTCATCTTGTTCGATGAGTTGTACCTTGTGAATGCTTCGATAGCGTGCTGCTGTGTACCTCCACGGACGGTATTTCCAAACCCCGTGAAACGAGTTTCAATTTTCGACCCCTCCACAAGAAGGCGAGCGGCAATGCCGAGAAACATCGAATTGAAGAGACGTCTTCGGTTGCGCTTCAAAGGCGTGTCATTCGGCATTGTGACTACTGTCACTGATGTGGAGATATACAGTCACGAAAATCAGAATCTGTGCTGTTATGGTACGGTTTTCCGTGACATGGGGGCATGCTTACCGTAGGTTGCGTGAGATATCACACCCCCTGGACCGATTCCCGAAGCTCGATATCTCGACAGGTTATGCCGTGATGGTGCTGAAAATGTCGGCGTTGGAACGGTCTCGTCGAGAGCTGTCCGAAATTTATTGTTCATTTTCGGCATCCACTTCGAGCTTTGAAGATTGGTCCAGGGGGTGTGATATCTTGTGCAACCTGCGGTACCTAGATCTGCGAACGGTCATCACACTTGATGCTGCGTTGTATGTAGACATTGTTTGGGCATGGCGTATGTTTTGTCAGGCATATCGATATCATGTGCCACGGAACGCCAACCAAGAACAAGACGAACATTCCCCAAAATATTCACAACCCAACCGTAACCGTCCTGCATTCCTAGGTGTCTCGTTGCCCACCCCGCGGCCCTCGTTCTACATGATATACCTGTGGTTTTTCTATTGGCAGGGACTCCGACGACTTCCATTCCGCCGAGGAGAATGACAGCGACGACGGCTACGAGCCCACCCCTGCCAAGGCGAGGAAGCCGAGCAAGGCTAAGGGCAGGCCGGCCGCCGAGCCTGCTGCTACTGCTGCTGCTGCTGCTGCTGCGCGGAAGGCGGCCGTGGAGACGAAACGTGGCGCTGGCGGGGTCAGAGGCGCTCGCGGGAAGGTGGGGAACGGTGCTCGAACAGCGGAGTTGCTTCAGCTGTTGTTTTGGTTGTGTTTTGGTGTTTGTGTCATGATTTCGGTGTTATTCTGCTGCTGCTGCTGCTGCTGCTGCTGCTGCTGCTGTTGCTTGTCGTGTTTTTGATGTTGACGGTCGATGACAGCGATATACTCCGCATGTCTCTAGACTGTTGCTGCTGCTGCTGCTGCTACTGCTGCTGCTGCTGCTGCTGCTGCTACTGCTGCTGCTGCTGCTGCTGTAGTGCATAAAGTGTACGCTTCTTGGTGCCTCTCCGTTGTCGGTTTGTCGTAAAGGCACTCCTCAAGGCCGTCTTTAACGGCGACGTACGTGTTTGTTCGCAGATACATGTCCCGTCTCGACTACATAGTGTAGGCGTCCACGCCTGCAACAGCACGCGATCAGGAGGCCGGCGTTCAGCGTTTGGTTGTTGTCTGGGTGCTCGGAATGTACAATCTTGTGCGCATGTTTCGCACGTCGTGCCAAATATTATCGTGTACTTCCACGGAACAACCCCGGAAGCCGTTTTCTTTGGTCTAATATTTCGGCCGTACGTTGTTTTGGGTGTATAGAAAACGATTTCAAACCATTAGAGTATCAGCACTGACTAGCCCAATGATTTGATTTCGGCGTCTATAGATGCCTCGAGCGGAGCTGCTTCCAAACTTTGTTTTTTTTCTTTGTTTTTGCTGCTGTTGAATACAACCGTCAACAGCAATACCAATGGCCGTCGATCGTCGAAGCACAGCAAGCGCCAAATGTCCCTAACTTGCCCTCTATTTTTTTAACCGCTTCCTCGGGCAAGTTCGTTCCGCTTCACCTAGAGGCTTGTAGTCCTCGGCGGTGCTTAATGATTTTCATCCACAAACTCTCTTCCACTACATGTTGAGCATGGCCACCAAAATCGGCAACAAAAACACAAGGCCAAAGAAAACAAAGGAACACTGCCTACGGACTGCAAGCCTTTTCAACTCCTCTTGGGCGTTTCGTTGCGAAACTCTTTCCGAACCAGACCGCTGTGGCTGCGCCGGAGGCTACGACCATGCTCTCCTCCGACCATGAAGAGGAAGAGGATGGGGATTCTGACGGCTGTGAGGTGGTGGAGGCTGAGCCCGCCGTCGCTCCCGTCAGGGGTGGGCGAGGCGGCAGGGCGACTGCTGGCAAGGGGAGGGCCGCGGCGAAGGTGCACTGCGTGGTGGCTTATTATGGCTCTTGTGGTTGGTTTCTTTACGGATGTGGTGTAGCCAACCCCGGGCTGATCGCCGAATGCTCTTGGCGGACACGTTAGTTACCACCCCCCCTTCTTGGTCCATCCTTTTGAAATGTAGCCTGGGCCGGCGAACACCCGGCACATCGCTCGGTTCCGGCATGCGAGGTCAACGGTCTAACGACCACGGCATGCGTTGGACTTGAGTGTAACCCCTACCTCCCTCATTCGTTCAGTCCACGAACTCAAGGTATAACACCCAGACGACAATCCTCTTGGTGAATATGCATGCGTTCTTTACCCCCCCCC